GTTCGCCATGATCCAAAACGAAGAAACGAAGGGTTAGGGGTTCCGCTCCATCTTGGCACACTGCCAAGCTAGCTCAAATATCACTTCCAGCGCAGCATCCACCATGGGCGAGTGGTCTAGTGGCTTAGACTGCTCGTCGGGTTAGACACCGAGTGTTTACCCAGGACGCACCGCAAGGTCCTGGGTTCAAACCAGGGGTGGGGGTAGTAACGCTCAATGGGTAATAAGTCGTTACAGTACCTTTTGCTCTTTTTTGTTTTGTTTTTTATTTTGGAGGGAAATACATCAGGAGGCTATTTTGTGCTCTCGGCGTGAGGTCGAGTAGACAGTCATAGCGAATTACATGTAACTGTGTCATTTTGCATCATGTGTTATTGTAGAGCACGTCTACCGAAAACTATGTTATTTCAGACAGACCTTTTCAAAAAAGAAGAGAAGAAAAACCTCTACTAGCTAAGTAGCTAGTAGGACAGGACAGAGCCCACCGCGAGCCATTCATAGGGGGTGGTAAGCCACATAGTTTAATTCTCTTCTTCCAATGTGCTTACTTGCTTACTAAAGTTAAGTATTTATGGGCGCGGATGTGAGAACGCGGTAAGTGGTTCCAAGCGGGGGGGGGGGGGGGGGGTGCACCACAAACTCTCACTCGCCGCCCACAACCCACCCACCCACCCACCCACCCACTACCAAGCGCACAACCGCACCGCACCGCACCGCACCGCACCGCACCGCACCGCACCGCACCGCACCGCCCCCCACTCTTCACCACCCTCGAGTTCTGCAACTCTCACCCGCTCACAAGTTATGACGATCTCTTAAGAATATTAATTCACAATTACAGTAGCGTTAAACAATACTACATTGCTATCTCCCCACCCATGATTCATGTACTTTTTTCACCTCATTACTGTCGATATCAATTGCGCCCAACTTACGCCTAGTCCATGTCCACGCCGATGCCTACGCTTCAGGCCTCAGCTGCGGGTTCCTGTACAGCCTCGCATACATGCCCAGCGCCTTAATCGTAAACGTAAACTTATAGTTCGGATACGAGATCATACTGCATCACGCCCCATTAGCTTCTCCCCTCTCACTCTCTCTCCCAAAGGAATAACACACTCACCAGCTCTTATTGAACACGCCCTCAATCGCCTCCTGCGCCCACTCCCCATTGCCCCTCTGCCTCTCCATAATCAGCCTCACCCCCCTCTCAATCGGCCCCACGTCCGGCCACTCCGCATGCATCAACGCAATGACCGCCCACGCCGTATTCACAACCTGCGAGTCGCGGTGCTGCGTATACACGCCCGTCTCACTACTCCGATAACTCTCGCCCCACCCGCCATCCCCGCGCTGCTTGCTCACCAGAAACTCACACGCCCTCCGCACCACCTCCGAGTTCTGGCAGATCTCGCCGACGCTCCGTAGCGCCTCGACAGCGAACATGACGGCATACGTAAAGCAGATGCCCCAGCTGCCATACCAGCTCCCGTCGTCGCGCTGCGCGCTCTTGATCCACGCGACGGCCCGCCGGATGACATTATCGATCTTGGCCGCGCGGTAGCGCGGGTACGTCTTCCGGAAGTACGACAGCCCCATGACGACGGCCGTCGTGCACTCGGGGTACTCGTACTCGATCATGATGCCGCCAAACACCTCCGCGGCGTTGAGCGCCTCCAGCCACTTCCCGCCGCGCGCGAGCTCATAGGTGCCGAAGCCGCCGTTGGCATTCTGCATGGTCAGCAGCACGTCGACGGCGTCCTGGAGGCGGGCCGCGCTGATGAGCTGCGGCATCCCCGGCACGGACTGCAGCATGAGCACGCTCTTCAGCGCCTCCGCCGTCGTGTCCGAGACCGTGTAGCCCTGCGTGCGCTTCGAGAACGGCCATGCGCCCTTGCGCGCGTGGCGGTACGCCTTGTGCGCCTCCGGCACGTCGGCGCGGATCTGCTGGGTCTCGAGGAACTGCAGCGCCTTGGTGAGCATGGCGCGGTACTGCGGCTCCTCGGCGAGGTTGCTCTCGTAGATGGCCTGGATGAGGAAGGATGTGTCCCAGCACTGGACGCCGTCCGTGCCGTTGACGAGCATGCCCTCGTTCTTGACCCACAGGAAGTCTTTCAGTGTTTCGCGGTGGGCGCGGACGGCGGCGGAGTCTTCGCCTTCGGCGAAGTAGCGCGCGATGAGGTTGAAGGGGCTGTTGACGGGGCCGAGGCAGCAGTACTCGGAGGCCTCGTCCTCGCGCTTGATGAGGTCGTAGACGTGGTCGCGTGCGACCTTCTGCACGACGTTGGGGCACAGGTAGGAGCCCCAGACGCCGAGCACGCCGTTGAGCGCGTCGAGGAGCTTGGTGTGCGGGTGGTAGATGTCGCCGGGCGCGACGGTGTTGCGGTGCTGCGCGAAGTCGATCGAGGCGTACGGCTGCGTGTAGAGCTCCTCGCGCAGCGACCGGGTCAGGTCGTTCTCGGGGTGGGAGCGCTTCAGCGAGTACATGTAGCTCATGGCGAGATACACGAGGCGGTTGTGGCACCACCAGCGCCAGGGGTGGAAGGGGACCCAGTTCGGGAGCATCCAGAGCTCCGGCGGGATCGGGTTCATGCCCTCCCAGCCGTAGCAGCCCATGAGTGCGAGCATGAACTTGCCCCAGTGCGGGGAGCCGAGTGCGCCGCCGAGCTTGTGGAGCGTGTTGCGCGCCTTGGTTGCGACGGGGTGGTTGGGGTCCATGCCGAGGATGCGGAGCACGGTGTAGTTGCAGGCGGTGCCGAAGACGGAGGTCTCGCCTTCGATGTGCAGGCCCCAGCCGCCGTCGTCGGGGTTGGCCCGCGCGGAGAGGTAGGCCTTGATCTCGATCTTCCAGGGGTCGGGGATGTGCGTGTTTGTGACGTAGTGGGCGATGATGACGGCGGGGATGAGGAACATGGGGCCGCCGTACTCGCAGGCCCATTGGCCTTCGGGCATCTGCAGTTGGGAGAAGAAGGATAGGCCATTGCGGGCGGCGTCGAGTGGGGAGTGAGCTGGCGGGAGAGCTGGGAGACCCTATTGTAGCAGGTTAGCATGGTCAATTCCCATACTGGAGCTAACATTGAGCGGCAGGAACATACGGTAGGCAGGCCGAGATGGTACTTGTCAGCTACTGACTGAGGCCAGGCAGCTATCTCTTCATCTGTGGTAAGGTAGTGCCATGTCTGTCGGCCATCCTCAGACTTGAGACGCCAGCGTGTGTAATCAGTCCTTTCGATAGTCGCAGAGGCGGGGATTGAAGCAGCCATTGATTAAATTGAGGGGTCGTGATCGTTCAGTCGTGAGATGCGTGAGGAGTGTTTTGAGGGAGATGGCAAGATATTTGTAGAGCAGGACTGACCAGGTGTTTGTTTGTCTGGGGGGTGAATTGCTGTAACTCAGGGGGCACGCACCTCTTGCAATTGCAAGGGGGGGGGTCGACGCAGCCAAGACAGCAACGCCGCTGCAACTTGAGGGATATCCGATAGGGCACAATCCAGGCACCACATCCGCCAATTGGAGCCTACTGATCTGATAAGGAAGAAGTCGATACTCCCATTAGTGGATTGATCTCATCCTACTCAATGCCGAATACTGCACTCTTTCAACTCTCTGCTACGAATTAATAGCGCTTCCTCAAAGCTCTGCCCAGTCGTCAATTGTTGCATGCTGTCGTCGTCACATGCAAACGCCAGCAGTGAAGTGCCAATTACGCCCTTGCTGCAAGGGGCCTAAAACAACAACTCGCTCTCCCGGCCGCCGCGAGCCCGGTAGCAATATCAGGCCATTAGAGCTCGTGTGAGACACGGGTAATTGGCATCCGGTGCTTTCTACAACTGCTCTGTAACCAGATTCGATTCCCACCAAGATTGGTGGGGTTGGGAAAACTCGAAGGTTGGTGCGGGTGATAGTTCATGAGCCGCGAATCATTGACGCGGGATCACGTGTGGTCGTGTCGACATGATCCATGACGTCCCGCTTAGGCTCGCTTGTGTTTGGAAGGACGTTTTCGGGCTGTTGGCTGTTGGCTGTCGGGGTCTCGCTATCAGGGGTCTGGAGGCCTGGGCTCTATTGCTCTTGATGCTCGATGAGGGTGGTGATGATTTAGCTACAGGATCTCAAAACTAACATATGCTTAACCACGTAGCTATAGCCGTCGTAACGGGTCTTAACACCTGTGTATTCCCAGAGCCGGCGTTCTGGAATAATGCAGCCTCAGGCAGAGGAGAAGCCACAGAACAGAGCCTCAAAGACCCAATCAAGCGCACGTTACAAAATTAGACCATGTATTTATGTCATCCAACGGTCCATCCCGCCGGCCGGCGTTACACAGACCCTGCCGAGCGAGCGAGAATCCATGACGAAGGGAAGAAGAGCCCCAAAACAAGCTTTCGGGGATTAGTAATATTGATGGTGATGATGATGATGGATGGGTGTGTGTGTGTTGTGCTTGGCAGCAACGGCGCGTCTCTTTGATAAACAAAGAAAGGGAAAAACGGGGGAGGAGAAGAGGAGAGATGAAGCGAGAGAGGAGCCTCACTGTGACACAAATATACACAAATTAATACACGCATTGGCACACACCTTAATACTCACACTATCAACACTCACATCGAGAACCTCACCTCACCTCACCTCACCTCACCTCACCTCTCACCCACACCCACACCCACACTCACCTGGCTGGGCGCCGACTGGCTGTGCACTTTCCTCCCTCCTCCTCCCCCCATCCCCGGCCCCGTAACCCTGCATCTTCCTTCGACCGTGACACTTGTTTGTTGAACAAGCCAACCTCCAACCAACCAGCCAAGCTCTCTCTCTCTCTCTCTCTCTTCTCTTCTCTACACACATCACATTCCTTTCCATATCAACACCCCCCACACACACACCCCCACAACATCTCCACTCTCCCTCTACACCACAAGTTCCACCTATCCAAGTCGTCCAGTCCAGTCCACCCCCACAACCCCCCAGTGTAGAGTACACCCTACACACACCACCACACCATGGACGAAGCCTACGCCTCCCCCTCCAGCGACGGCCACGCCACCCTCCCCTCCCCCACCGACAGCACCTTCGACCTCTCCCGTACGTCCCTGTCCCTGTCCCTGTCCCTGTCCCTGTCCCCCCCGGTGTACCCTACTAACCCACACCCCACAGTGCTCCCACCACCACGTAAACGCCGCACCCGCACCACCGACCCGCACCCCCCCACATCATCATTCATCAACCACGCCCCCACCTCGCACGACTCCGAGTCCTCGGACAGCGACGGCGACGGCGACGACGAGACGTTCCTGCGCGGCGCCTGGGACGGGTACCAGCGCATGCTGCCGTCGTCGCCGGAGGAGCTGCAGAGCCAGAGCCAGAGCCACAACCGCAACGGGGGGGGGCAGGGGGGGAGGCTGCTGTTGGGCTTGAAGGAGAAAGAGGCGTTTAGCGCGCGCGCGGGCAACGGGCGGAGGGCGTCGCCGCCGCCGAGACTGACGCTGGGCGAGAGGGGGATTGGGGCGCGGAAGTCGCAAGAAGCCGTGGGTGGGGATGCGGCGGCGGGGGAGGTGTCGCAGGGTGCGGGTGTGGATGGGAGTGTTCGGCCTCCTGCCGCTTCTACTACTGCTGCTACTACTACTACAACTCCTATTACTGCTATCACAACTACTGCTACGAATGCTACGAATACTACGAAAGAGGGCACAAGCACAGCCATAATCCCCGCCGGAACCTCCCACGGGGCAGAATCGCAGCCCCCGCCACCGCCACCGCCACCGGCGAACGCAAGCAGACGCAGCCTGGTGTCGCAGGGCCCGGGAATCGAGCCGCAGTATCCGATCGCCGGGGATTTCTATGGGCGGCGGAAGGGGCCCGGGAATCAGTATGCTGCATCTGCATCTGCATCTTCAGGCGACGATGATGCTCCCAAGACAAGTCAGGAAGCTGCCACGAATGGGGGGAATAAGGCGCCTGGTGGGGCGAGATCTGGTACGCCGGGGGACGCTGCAGCTTCGGAGCAGAGGCCGCAGTCTGCTAAGGAGGATGGTAATGGTAATGGTAATGGGCGGAATAAAGCTCCTGAGCAGAGGCCGCAGTCTACCATAAGTGATACAAACGCGCGGAATAAAACTGAATCTCGTACTGCCGGGGATAGACCAAGCACACCCCCGGCCGACGCCACAGGCGGAAGCGGACGTAAAACCCACGACCTCCCGTCCACCACGCCCGCCGGCGAACCCCCGCGCGCCCCCACAGCCCCTCCCGCTGCCATCCCCATCCCCATCCCCATCCCCGCCGCCATCCCACAACTCACCACACGCCCCCTCGACCCGCACACCCCCGCCAACAAACCCACCCGCAAGCACCCCTTCCCCGCCCGCCGCCGCAGCGCATCCCCGCAAAAGCGCCACCCCAACCCCAACCCCAACCCCAACCCCGAGCCAGAGCACCCACACTCGCAGCCCGCCTCGCCCGCCAGCTTCCTTGGCAAGACGCCGCGCTACCTCAACTGGCTCAACTCGTCCATGGACGAGGGGCACGGGGACTCGCCGCCGGGGCTGCCGCCGGGGCATCGCGAGCGGCTAAGGGAGGCGCTGGCGCAGCGGGTGGTGGATGAGAGTGGGTTCGTGGGGGGGGATGAGGATAGCGGCGATGACGAGGTGGTGGGGCAGCGGAGCTTCTTTGATGATGATGGGGAGGAGATGGACGAGAGTAGGCTCACGGTCATGTCGGAGGAGCGGCTCCCGATGGGCGACGGTGTGGAGAGATACGACGGTGCGGGCGACGAGCGGCCGCGGGGGAAGGGGAAGGGGAAGGGGAAGGGGAAGGGGAGGGGAAGGGGAGGGGAAGGGGAAGGGGGGAAGGAGAAGGAGAAGGAGAAGGAGAAGGAGAAGGAGGTGCAGAACACGGTTTATCACTCGCTCGTGGAGGCGTCGACGGCTGGCGAGACGGACAGCGAGCTGCCGCAGCAACAGCAACAACAACAACAACAACAACAACCGCAACCGCACCCGGCAACAGAGCAGCCGAGGGGGAAGATGTCGCCCCCGCTGCCGTTCGATCCCACAATGCCGCAGTTCTTCTCGGACCCGCCGGGCGAGCTGCCGTCCGCTGGGTCGCCGGGTAAGGGCAAGCCGAAGCCGCCTCCACTCACCACTACCGCTGCAACCACCACCACCAACACCACCACCACAACTACAACTATCTACAACAACAACAAGAACAAGAACACTACCACCACCACCACCACCAACAACAACAACAACAACCACAGCAGCGTGCCAGCCCGCCCATCAATCGCCGAGATCCACAAAGTGCCCCAACCCCGCTCCACCACCCTCATCGGCAAAAAGTCGTTCAACGACCTCCTTCTCACCTCACCCACGCCCACGTCCCCCACCTCCCCCACCTCCCCGTCATCACCGTCACACACGGCCCACCCCGCGCACAACGCATCGTCCAGTCTGGACCCCGAGACCGACAACCCGCCGGACTTCTCCAGCCTCGGCAGCGGCTTCTCGTTCGCCAGCATCCCGGCGCGCTACAAGAACCAGGAGTTCACGCCGCTCGGGGCGAAGGTCATGGGCTCCTCTGTGGGGTCCGAGGAGACGGTGGGGAAGGACAGAGAGAGAGAGGGGAAGGAGGACAGGAAGAGGAGTAAGAGTGATCCCGTGGAGATCAAGGCGTGGATGGCGAGTAAGGGGCTGGTGGTGCCGATGAGGGTGGGCGAGACGAAGGAGGAGAAGGACCGCAGGAGTTTCTCGGAGGAGGAGGGGGGGGAGGAGTGTCCTGGGGGGGGAGTATAGGTATGTGTTTTCTTTCTCCTTTTCTGGGTTTTGGGTATTGGATGGGGTGCTGATGATGATGATGATGACGGGTGAACAGCGAGGGCGAGAGCGAGAGTGAAGGCACCCGTGGAAACCGCCATTGGTCCGCCCTCCAAGACTTCCACCACAGCAGCACCACCCCTTCCAAAGCCGCCGCCGCACAAGACGACGCCGCCTCCCCCAGAGCCCACACGCCGGCCTCCATCAACGAGTCCAAAGACCTCCTCAGCGAGCTCGAGGGCTCCAGCAAGACGCTCTGGGTGCGCATGGCCCAGGCCGAGGCCGAAAACAACCACTTCCGCAAGCTGCTCGAGAGCAACAACATCAAGATCGACGACTCGTTCCACGACCTCAGCTCCAGCAACCTGGACGTGCGGCCCCCCGCTGCAGACGACTCCTTCGACGCCTCGACGTCCGAGGACGTCGGCTCGCTGCGGCGCCGCGTCATGGAGCTGGAGGCCCTGCTCGAGATCGTGGCCCGCAAGGAGATGGAGCTGCGCGCCGAGAACGAAAGGAAGGATAATCTCGTCATGCACTGGCGCAACCAGTACAACGACGTGCAGAAGCTCGCGCTGCAGAACCGCCAGCGGGCCTTGGGGCTCGAGAGCCATGTCAAGACGCTGGAGCAGAAGGCCGCGGCCGAGATCGCAAACCACGGCCGCGAGATTAATAAGGTTGTGAGCAAGCTCACGGAGCGCGGCGACGTCATCAAGAATACGCGCCAGAAGAGCCTGGGGCTTGAAGACCGTCTTGCGGCCACGGAGGGGCAGCTCCGCGACGCGCGGGAGGCGCTGGACGAGAAGGAGCGCACCATCGAGCAGCTGCAGCAATCACTCGAGCGCCGCCGCGCCTTCAGCGGCGAAGGCAGCGCCGAGAACCTCCAAGAAAAGCTCATCGAGCAACAAGCAGCCCACAACGCCTCCACCGCCAAATTCACCAACCTCCTCGACGAGAAAGACGGTCTGGTGCGGCACCTGCAGGCCGAGCTCGACGAGATGGTGAACCTGATGCCCGTCGACCACGGCAGCTCGCGCATGATCGACGAGGAGGAGGTCGAAGACTGGCTCGACGAGAAGTCGCGCGAGATCTCGCAGTACTACGACGACGGCCTCGACCAGATCATCACGGAGCTGCACGGCGCCGGCGAGCGCGAGGACTTTGAGGACGCCGTCGAGGAGGCCGAGATGAGCCTGCGCAAGGTTGCGCAGCAGGCCGGCCTCGACGAGCCCCTGGATAAGGCCACGCTCGCGGCGTTCGGCATCCGGCAGCTGCGCACGGAGCACGCGCTCGTGAAGCGCCTGCTGGCCGAGAGCGAGGGCAGGGCGTCGGCGCTGACCGAGACGCTGCATCGCCGCGGCGACGCCGCAGAGAAGTTACGTGTGGCCGAGGAGCAGCGCGCCGCGCTCCAGACCGCCGTGGAGGAGGCCGAGGCCGCCGGGAAGGTCCTCGCGGACCAGCTGCGCGGGGAGCTCGCAAAGACAGAGACGCATGTGCGCGCGCTCGGGGCAGAGGTTGAGGCGCTAGAGGGGAGGGTGGCGGACAGCGACGAGCGGGCGCGCGCGCTCGAGGAGGAGAAGGAGGCGCTGCGCGTGCTCGTCAACGACACGAAGCGCCTCAACGACATGCTCAAGAGCCAAGCCGGCCAGGCCGAGTCGCGGCTGCACGCCGCCGACGAGGAGATCGGCGGCCTGCGCCGCCAGCTGGCCGAGGAGAAGAGTCATGTCGGACTCGTCGAGACGGAGACGATCACGCTGCGGCAGCAGATTGCAAGATGGGAGGAGACGGCGGGCAGGGTTGGGGCCGAGAAGGAGCGCGGGCTGGCGCAGCTGAAGGAGGCGGGGGAGCGGCAGCGGGGACTAGAGCGCGAGAGGGAGGCGCTACGACGACAACTCGACGACGCAGCAAGATCCCATGTTGCCTCGCGCGAGGCGGAGAATCTCAAGCGCGTAGTGAAGGAGCTGCAGGAGCGCCTCAAGGCACTGAATGAGTCGCACGCAGCCTGCAGCATCACGATCGTCGAGCTGGAGGGGCGCGTCAGACTGGCCGAGCAGACTAGCCAGCGCCTCGCCGCGGAGAAGGAGTTCGTGAAGGCGGAGCTCGAGGTGGCCGTGGGCGAGACGAAGGCGGCGAGGGGGCGGTTCGCGCAGTTGCTGCATGACACGGCGGAGAAGGAGGCGAGGCGCGTGCCGTTTGCCAGTAGCAGTGGTGGTGGCGGCGGGGACGACAGCGGGGCCTGCCGGCGCGCGCTGCATGTGATTGTTACGGAGCTCGAGCGGTGCGCGCTGCCGGCGCATATTGATGTTGGCGGGGGCGGCGGGGAGGAGGTTGTTGTTGCGGAGGGCGTGCAGGACCCGGAGCTGGTGAGGGTCATTGTTGGTGCGCTCAGGCTGCGCGCGAGGGTGATTGCGGAGCTGGATGAGCGGGGGAGGCGCTATAAGGGCGCGGCGAAGAAGCATTTGAGGGATGCGGAGAGGAGGAGGGGACGGGTGGAGGAGCTGGGGGCGGAGGTGAGGGAGTTGGGGGTGAGGCTGAAGGCGGAGAGGAGGGGGTATGATGAGAAGATGGGGCAGATGATTTTGGCGCTGCGGAAGGGGGAGTAGTCGGGGGGTTGCTTTTTTTTTTTTTTTAGTTGTGCTTGTGCGGGCGCGGGGAAGAAGTATAATTATGCGTGTCTGCATCATGGTTCTTTTATGTGCTTATGAGAGGGTTGGGCTGGGTCGGAGTATCGGGTTTGGCATCTTTTTTTTTTCCCACTTATCTTTTTGCTTAGCTTTTCTACCTTTTACCTTTTTCTACCTTTTTCTACCCTTTTTTAGTATCTTTTTTCTACTCTTTCCTTTTTGCTGTCGCGCTTGATGATGGCTTAGTATTAGGTGTTTATTTATTCTACATGTACTTACATACTCCTTTTATTCCTAGTTGCAGCCCTTTTTTTTTCTGTACGTCAGGTAGGAAGAATGGCAGGTAGTTCAAAGTTGAAGCCGAAGTCAATCAAATCATGAACCATCACTCGTGCCTCTCATGCCTGAGTGACCCCGTGTGAAGGGCTGCGGCGAGTGATAGACTATGATGCACCACTGCAAAGATACATGTAACCAGCACCCCCAAGAAAAGAAAACTTTGGGGCGACGTAGTATAGTGGGGACAGGGCCTATTAAGCAGCAGTTTGCTTGCTTGCTGGGGAATTTAGTTTAGCGATTCTACTCTAATCGAAGATGCATGCATGGCCCGGTCGGTATGTACATGTGAATCATACCCGTCCGTAATCACGGTCGATCTCATCACTCATATTGCACTCTACTAATTCCGGGTGGCATGATTTTTCTCCAACATTCCGGCCCCCCCCCCCCGAAAATTACGGGTATTCGCGCTAGTGCTTACAGCTTGCGACACTCATGAGATATCACTCGCCGGATCCCTGCCAAGCGATCGCGAGCTGTGGGTGAGTAGGGTCGAAAAAAGCAATTATTGACGTATGTGTTTAGGAACGGCTGAACGCCTGTGAGGAAGAATATAAATTGAGCTGTGGCCCCGGAGTACCTAGGTATCGATAGCGACAAGTACTATCACAGCGCACTCCACAATCAATATCAATCCACCCCACTAACCCACAACCACAATGGCCATGGTACCCCCCCCCCTTCCCCTTCCCCCTTCCCCCTTCCCCCTCCCCTCCACGCACACCCCACTAACACCCCCCCCTCCAGGACCCCACAATCCCCCAGAACCCCTTCCACATCCGCCTCCTCTACACCCTCGCCCTACTCGTCCAGCTCAGCGACGTCTACCACTTCGCCACCCTCTCCCCCCGCTTCTGGCCGCGGCGGTCCGACCTGTCCGGCCCCACGAGCACCTTCTTCCTGCGCACGTACTGCACGCTGCTGCTGCCGTACATCCTGCTGTGCTACTGGCTGCGCCACTACCACATCCGCGAGACGGACGTGGGGCAGGCGGTCGGCGCGTCGTTCGCCTTGTTCCATGCGCTTGCCCCGGCGTGGTATGTGTTGAGTTGGTGGACGGGGGGCTATGTGCAGAGGCCCGTGGGCGTCATTTTGGGCTTTCATGTCGGGTGTGTGGTGTGGGCGGGGATGGGGTGGGTTTTGTAGATGATGGGTTTTGGGGCTTGCTGTGGGTTTTAGGTGGGGTGGAGGGGAAAGAAGAGAGGGGGGGGGGGGGGTTAGATGGATGGATGGATAGTGTTAGATATAGGTATATAGCTTCTGTCAAGAGATGTGGTAAAATTATAAATAAATTACTAAATAAACAAAAATATCTACAAGTTACAATTAAGCTAAAGGGCCCTGCCCGATGTCTGTCTGTCACATGCCGCAACCAATATTAACTAGCGTTCCCAATTATTACCCCAACCCCAACCCACACCCACCCTAGTCCCAATCCAGCCACCCTAATAATTAACCCAACTATCCCCAACCATCACGGCCTATAACCAACATAACCAACTCCCCCCACCAACCCCCCTCCCCACCACCTACCCCGAAAACACCATAATCGCCGAATCCCTCACCGCGCCCCTATCAAACACATACCTCCCCTGGCTCCTCTCCACACCCCCCACGACCCTCCTACACGCCTCCACCACCCAGCCCACCGTCCTGCCCAGGGCCCCACACTCAAAATCGTACTTCTCCCTCTCCGAGCACACCCTCGCTCCCGCCGCGCCATACTTGGCCACGGGCGTGCAGAGCCTCTGTCGACTCTGTAGGCACGGCGCGGCGCCGAAGCGTAGGATCCAGCTGGCGAGGCCGAGGCCGTCGCTGTAGGTGGGGGACGTGGCGATGGTCTCGCAGATGATGGAGCCGGCGGGGACGGCGACGAGGGGGTGCGCGGTGGTGGTGGTGGTGAGGAGGGGGAGGAGCAGCAGGAAAGGAGGGAGGCGGCCGGGGCGCATGGGGATGGGGGCGAAGAGGCTGTGGGGGGAGGAGACATTGAGAGTCTGGTCTGGGCTTTTGGATAGATACACTTGTAATTCAGGAATCTATCTCTATCCCCAGCTAAAGCTCGTAGGGCTACTGTCACTATCATACATTGCATAACTATCATGATATATATACCCTCTCCTCCTCCTCTCCTCCTCCCCTCCCCCCCCCCCCCCCTAAACAAACAATCTCCTTCCCCACCATTGCCAGCATCAATTATACCCCCCCCCCAAACCATTCAGCTCCATCCTAACAACCGGCAGCACATCCTCCATCTCGCCGCCGGCGCGGCCCCCCTCTCCCTCTAGCAAACACTCGATCATTGACCACGACCGCTCCATGTGTCGTAGAGTGTGGTGGTGGGGTGGGCGCTGTATATTACATAGTGCAAACCTCGCCCTCTATCACAACCCATCACTCGTATGTCAGGGTTAGGGTTTGTGGCGGATGTTAGACTACGTCATTGGTTGATTAATTGAGAATTCATCAATTGATTGGACTATTTGGAGTGGGTGAGTGGTGAGTGGGTGGTGGATTTATATTACTGTGTGCGTGTGCATGGGGCATCACTCGGTTTTTATCGGGGGTGGACCTTACGCCTTCGTGTCAACGACGGACGGACGCACGCAGCTTGCTGCCGTCCGTCGAGCAGGAGGTCACACTCGTCAGTGGGTTGCGGGAAGGAAGAAACAATTTTTTTTCGTTTCTGCCTGCTTGTGATTATGTGAAGTTTGGGGGGAGGGGATTAGATTGGCGACGGTAGTAGAGCTGCGGGGTCCCGATCGAGACCATCATGCTAAGGGTCCCGAGGATATGGAGGGATCTAAGATTGCTAATAATTAAAAGCAGGAGTCGGTTTAGATTGTAGCAGACAAAGTGCTTTTTTTTTCTTTTTTTTTCTTTTTTTTTTTTCGTAATGATCTATTAGGTACAGTCGCATGCATCAAGTTCTCGCCGTTTACGCTGCAACACCCAGCCTCAATACTCGTTGCTCAACCACAAGTGGAGATATTTAATAGAGAATAGATAGTAGAGTTAAATAGAATATAAAGAAAGCGATTTTGAGACTACATCTAGTATGCCCTCCATTGGCTTTGAGACACACCTCAACCCTTAATGGCAATTTATCTGGCTTTGATTGAGACAATGCCTCCCACTCCTCTTGTGCAGTGATAAAAGGTTCATCATCACAATGAGGTCTTCTCTGTCTATAACTTCATCGCCTTTTTAGTGCACTCTTGAGCATTTCCCATGAATTCTTTATGGCGTTGAAATCTAATGATCCAGTAGGCCAGTCCCCCTCCTGGCTGGACAGTTTGTATCTTTATTTATCTGTACAGTATTTCGGCCCATTTTATGGAGAATAATAACAGCTTACCACTTGTCATATCTTGAAACTTTTGCAGAGTTCGTGGTGGAGTGGTTATGGTTTGACTCACCGTCAAAAAACGGCGGGAACTTGTTGCATGCGACTGTACATATTACAACAATAACGCAAGGCTGGCTTGGGGTATGCGGGATTAACAAACAGAATCTATTCAATCATTTTTTTTTTTGGTTTCATAAACAAATAACTTCGTTACTAGGTAGACAAGGCATATTACAATGTTAACAAAAAACAGAAAGGGAAACGTAAAGAAGAAGAAAGAAAAAAAAAAACTCCATCCAATGCCATCATCATCATGCATACTTCATCTTTCGTTCCCTCATTTATTAAAGACGCAAAGAAACTACTGGAGCATATAACTCAGATCCGGTAAGCCGTCCACTACCCCATAAACGAGTCTACTCTCTTCCGCCTCCTTTGCGTTTTCACGCCGACCAGTGACCGATGGCGGCGGTGCATCCCACAGGTCGGTACTACCAGTGGTGGTGGTGGTGGTAGCCTGGTTGGAAAAAGGTGCCGGAGCTGACACGTTGACCGGAGTGGCAGCAGTGGTAGAAACCGAACCATCGAAGAATGATAGGTCCCACGTGTCGTTGCCTCCGTTGCCGTTGCTTGCAGTGTTGTTACTACTACTTGTCTTTTGTGGGGCAGGTGATTTCTCAAAGCTGCTAAAATCAAACATGGATGCGGTGGATTGTGCACTAGGTACCGTGGATGCCTTCGGCTGTGGCTGCGCGTTTTGAAATGGAGCCGGGAAAATTGTTCTCGAACTGGGGTTGAGGGGGCTAGGCAGAACATTCGAGAAGGGGCTGCTACCCTTCGGTACAACGGGGGACTGAACCATCTCGCCCCAATCGTCATCGTCATCATCATCATTAATAGCTAGCTTAGATATGGCTGGAATAACTTGACTGGTGGTGGTAATCCTGCCGCTGCCACTCGATCTTGGCTCTAGACGTGGTAGACTGTTTGTTGCTTTTGGCTTTGACACTTCAGATGTCTTTGATACTTCGAATGCGTCGAAGGAGCCCCAAGGATCGACTTTCAGAGTTTTCGGTTGGGTCTTTCCGACTGAGCTGGTTCTACTATGGATAGCATACGTAGGCGGATTTCCTAATAGTTGGTTGGGTATTTTTGGCTTGGGCGTCAATGTAGACTCGAATGCATCAAATCCCCAGTTATCGGTACCACTAGTTTCGGGACCAGAGGCTTCCATAGTTTTATGACTCGGTTCATCGGAAACATGGGTAGACCCCAGGGGGAGTGCAGAAGATTTAGCTGACATGGAGCTTTCGAAAGCGTCAAACGATCCCCAATCATCTGTATTCTGTGAACTCGAACCAGAAGCCCCAAGGGGCTTGGATTGCGATCCGCCAGGGGGTTTGGGGGAAGATTGCACAAATGTTTGACCCGGCGACGATTTGGATATCGATGAACCGGCAAAGGCAGGCGAAGAGCTCCAACCATCTATTTCTTGTCCTTCTAACGTAGAAAGCTTCTTTAACTCTGGAGTGTCAGAGAGCTTTCCCGATAATCCACCAGAAATAGTATCTTTAGTCATTTGTAATGGTTCTGCAGGCATACCCCATCCATTGTCTTCGCCCAAGCCTATCGCTAGTTTGGTCGCCTCGGAGGTGCTGACAGGCTGTAGCAGGGAGGAAATTCGGCCTTGCCCTGAAACAGAACTGGAAGGTTTGGATTCGGCAGCCTTGTTCGGATTTTCAAAAGCACCCCACTCATCAAAGTTGCAATTGGCCTCAATATTAGACGGTAGCTTGACTGTGGTCGCAATATTTTCAAAGGCGCCCCATTCATCGAAGCTGGTGCTGGGGACTGGAACCGAGGTTGACTTTGGTTGTTCCCCTGACATCGAAACCCCTGGATTTGATGAGAAGAGGCTATCCATCGATGCTGGGATAATAGGGGTGGTTGCAGTTGCCTCTGCAGTTCTTTGGGTACTTTGAGGTGATGGGCTCGACGGTCGTGTCGTCGCCAAGCTATGCGAGAGCTTGCTTGAGTGGTTACTAGCAACGGGCGAATGGGAGACCACAGATCTACTGGGAGTTACCGGTTGGGACGACATCCTCGAAGGGGTACTATGAAAGCTTGCCCTATAAGGTGTCGAGGGTAACTTTTCATCCCCTTTGGCCGAGTTAGAGCTTGAATTAGGATGGGATTCGATAATTGGCTGTGAATTATCGAAGCTGTTCCACCCAAAACTCGCTACAAGGGGAGAAGATGGGGCTGTTTGACTTTCGGCGGGAGAAGTCTTTGTAGTTGATATATCAAACGGAGGTCTCGTAAGCCCTTGGCCTGTGGTTTTACCAACAACAAGACTACTATGGCGAGAGTGAGTGTTTACCGTGTTCCATTGAACAGGTAACGTCTTCTTTTCGACCGGTTCGACACCTTCTCCCCAGCCAAACATCGCCCCCAATCTCTGGGAGCCTCCTAAAGCCACGCCTCCCCCAGAGCTTTTATCTTCTGCCATCCATCTCGATACGATCTTATTGACGTCTTCCTGAATCTTGGAACCTACCCAGGTGACTCTGACATAGTCATCATCCCCGCTCTTGTCTTTCCTTATGGTTCCGCTCTGAGACAAACGATACCAAGCCTTTCGCCTATATGATTGCAGGGAATTAAAATTATGGCAAGCTTGTGTGGGGGGAGTGCGATACTTACGAATTTGTGGCGTATATGATTTCTTTGATCGGAGGCGGTTCTGGGTAGCTTGTAAAAATAGGATACAGTTTGTTGAGAAGAGAAGTGTCGATATTGAATGGAGTATCAACTTTAAAATGTGGCGTTTGAGGTAGAGGGGGGGACTCCTCGGGAATATCCTTTGTTAGGCTTTCTTCGGCATCCTCAAAGTCGCCTTCGTTGGCAAAGTCCCCAAAGTCATCATCATCATCTTCCTCCTCGCCTTTTGTTTCCTCCTGACCAATGTTTGGCCCTCCTTCGGGCTCTTTCTCAATTTCAGGTGTTGGTTCTGCAAGAGGTATCGTCTCGGGAGTCAATGGGACCTCAATTGGTGCGATGTCTGGTGTAATTGTTTCTTCTTTTCCCGTTGTTTCAATCTCAATTTCAACTTGCTTGTTGTCCGGAGCTTCGATATTATCTTCCTGCTTGTCCACGTAAACCGAGCCCTCTCCATTGACGTCTCCTATCAATTCATCTGAACTGGGAAGGGGTTTGGTCTCTGGAACGACTCCTGGCGGTGATTCCCTACTCGTGTTGGTTTCGTTTACTTCCTCGTGTTTTATATCTCCCCAATCAGAGCCAGCAGCCCACGCGTCTGCTTCATCCGTGGCCCCAAACCAGTCTCCGTTCTTCTTTGCTTCTGGTTGTTGAACAGCATCTCTAGAGGCACTTGGTAATTCTACCTTTTCTTCCGTAGCTCCTTTCACAACAAACTCCGGAACCCCCACTGATGCCGGCTCAACCCACTTCGGGAGCCCGGAGCCCCCTATCACCCCCGAAACCGCACCGGAACCAACAGCAGGGGACGAAGTTGCCCATGCCGAAGCGTCTCCGAACTCGGGCTCCTCTGTACTCCATGGGTCGTCATGCACCACTACATTA